CTCGTGTAGCTTTGCGCGAAATCCATAACAAACAAACATTTTGTTTGTTTTTCGTAAATTAAAGAACAACAACATTCAATAGGTAAACTGTTAAGATAGGCATTAAATAATTCCTCTAAAATAATACATATAATTTGAATGTTTTTCAACACATTTTGGTCAGATATTTCGTAAAAGACTAAAAAAACTTTATATAAGTATTTTTCATAAAACATTTTACATGTAGCCGTAATGTACTGGTTCATTTATCGCCCGAATTCCCAACCAACCTGAAAATTACGTGGTAATATCTTTATGGTGAAAAAATGATGACTGAGCTCAATATTCATACTACTCTTCAACCCTGTTCCCCAAACGTTTCCTATACGTCTATTCATAACAACTTCTTGAGTAAATTGGTTATAAGAAAAGCTGAATGGAATGTCGTAGCTGATGTTGTTCCTCTCTGCCACAGTCCAAAGCTGTATAAGATAACTAAAACAAGGTTTAATTATTTGTAGTTGAATAAAACAGGAACATTAATAATTTAGAATATGCATAACTTATAACGATATATTAAAATGTTAATGTATTGTTACGCCTCCAGTCGTTAGTTGATTTTCCGTAACTTCGTTCCGACGAAACTTTAGCGACACAAGTCCTTTCTTAATAAAACTGGTTTATTCTTTCTGAATAGAACTTTACGATACATTTGATTTCAACATTCGCTCTAAAACAAACGCTATAACGGACTTCAACAATACTCTCTGACTGCAGATCAATTACTCACTACCTACACACACTCTCACGTCACGCCGTGACCATCTTATATATACCAGACCATCCCCAATCTAGCAAATGCTAGAGCACTCCCGAAGGAACAGGATAGTTCTAGAAACGTGGCGTGACCTCGCTGACGCAACACTGCCCCCTCCTTAGTATTGTTCGTCCCGAACAACAGCCACTTGCATTAAACCACTAACAATTAACAATAACTTAATTAAATGTACAGAATTACAAACACAAAATTACAATTCAACAAAGTCTCTTAATTTTACGGGACGTATTTTCTTCCATACTGGTCTCCGTCTCGTTGGCTTCTGCTTCACGTGGGGTTCATCTGCTTCATCAGGAAATGTCCTATCGTCAGTAACAGACACATCAGTGGTAGTAACTTCATCAAGAGCTTCATCGTTTCCCTTCTCAAAACTGAGTAGAGTTTCTTCTTCGACGTTGGCTTTTTCAGGTGACACCTCTTCAGCAGCGTCATTTGTTCCTTTGTTCACTTTGTCCCAACTGATATGTCCTGGACCGTGACAACGCCAAAGCCTGTTGGCATGCGGCAACTTTGACTTACCTCGCCGACCACATTTTATCCGGAAAGTCACGTCTGAGAAACGAT